AAAATAAACTGGAATTTTTTGGTTGTTGTCCTGGGTGTGAACTTGATATTTTCTCAGTACCTCTTACTTAGTTCCACAGACGATGCTATTGCTTCTGAGAAGGAACTGTACGCACAGCAGCTGAGCGCAGGAGAATAAACACCGGATGGAGCTCCAGTCCTGCTACGTCCTTGCTATGTGACCTTTCTGATTTCCTGTTTGCTGTGGGTAAAGTGGAAACTCCTTAGATTGCCATGAGTCTTTGAGGGAAATTTGCAATTTCCTCTCCTTTTGGTTCCCTGCAGAAAGATCTTCATTCTCCATGTGTTTTATCAGCTACTTTCAAAGTCCCTAACATACCGAGAACTATTTGAATGACACTTACACATTAAATTTGTCCACTTTTAGAGATCATATAATCTCTACTCTCCTATCTATTCTTAAGTGAAAACCATGACCATTTATATTCTTATACACAATGCTAAACGTCTTAATAAAACACCGTCTAAATTTTCAGTCAGTGAGTATGGCTATATCACCTACTCAGTGATCCGGTAAGTACTTGTTGAGCATACTATGTGTAAGCTATGATGCAGGGGTCCCCTGGCCAAGAGCATCAGTGTCACCTGGAAACGTATTAAAAATGTGGATTCTTGGGCGCCACTTAGAACTACTGAATCAAAAATTCTGGAGTGGGGGCCTAGCGATCTGTGTTTTGACAAGGCCTCCAGGTAATTCCGATGCTTGCTAAAGTTTGAGAATCACTGGCATAAGGGATTCAAGAAAGTTGATTGTAATGCAGGGGAGATTAGACAAGAATTCAAATAACCACAGCGAGCAGTATGTAGTAGCTGTGTGCGTGTAACAGAGCTTGGAGTTCCACGGAGGAACAGGGCACTTCAGGTTGGAGCACTGAGGATTCACAGAGAGGGTGTAGGAGAACGTGGACTAAAGGATCTTAAAATGCAGGGCAATGAGGAAGGCAAAACAAGCTACAGGAACAGCCTGAGCAAAGCTTTGGAGGAAGTTCATGATTAATTCAGAGATGCTCTGGGTGATGCACCAGGTGAGGTAAAAAGGTGGTATATGATGGAGAATTTGGGGCACTCTGTGAGAAACGGACTCCGTAGGCAGTGGGAAGCCATTGCAGGTTTTTGAGGAGGAAAGTTCTTCAAGCTGACCTGTATTTCAGAAAAATAGCTCTGGGAGCAAGGTGGGGAATTGGCATACAAGAGTTTAGAGTCAAATAATGATGTGTTTTAGTCCTTCTGGGGTGATTCTGAATTCTAGTTTAAAATCCACAATGTTGTTTAAAAACCACTGCAGCAAAATAAAATTGTTTTATTTAAATGAGAAATGGTGCCATCTGATTGCCTTCTGATGCATACCATGTATTGATTCATAGCTCTAAATCATTGATTAAATTATTAAATGCTTCTGTGAATGCTTTTTCTGTATTACAATACAAATAAAATTAAACAGTGTGGTGTTTCTTTTCTCAAACTTTCTTGTCAAGCAAAAATATGCTTTCAAATCAGTGACCTTGTCCTTGTGAATCATCCTGACTTCCTCCTTTCTGCTAAGATGACGCAGCCTTTTGTGTTTATCTGTCCGTCCATCCGGCACGTTTGTCAGTTCCTTCCACATTTCACGAGATGGGTCCCGTTCAGAACTTCCCTACTGTGTACAGCATGCGTGCTTCCCGGGCAGTTCATCCCACACATCACTGGCAAATCAACCACAACCCCGCCTCTTCTTTGCTAAAACTGGCCCAACCCAACCCCCAAAACTCATCATTCTTCAGCTGGGAAATATCTACATGACCCAGAAGAACCAGTTAACTCAGTGGAACTTGATGGACCAGTGAGACATGGGAGGCATAGGGGACATAACATGGGTGTTTGAAACATGCTGGAAACAGCGTTGCATTTTTTTTTAACCTGACTTCTTGTAAGTGGTAATGTTTAGTGTTTAGGTACTGATGACCCTGTTTTAAAATCTCAGTCAAACAACTTATTGTATGATCTTTTTGATTTCTCGTTTTCTCTCAATTCATAATTAAAATGGAGATAATCCTTGGACTGGTGATGAGATATGATGGTTAGCACAGGAACTATTATTATCATTTGTGAATTGTTGCAAGCAAATTGAAGTTGGAGAAGAAATATCCCTCTTGATCATTAAACTAGTTAATAAGGCAGACGATATACATTAGCTGTTATAACTCAGTGATGTGTATTTTATTCTAGATATTTAAAAGCAGACTAGAGTGCATTTTGTTCAGGTAATTCAGAGGAAAAAGACTTTAAGTCTCTAGTCAAAAAAAAATTGAAGCGCAGAATTCTTCTTAAACAGCAAAACACACTAACTTTAGTTTTTATGCTTATGTTTCAAATATAAGGAATATAATACATCAAAGAATGCAGAAAGCAGATTTATTTAGGATTTATTCCTGTAAAATGAATGAGAGGCATAATTTGGTTCTAAAAGTAAAATTTAAAAATTGCTTGCAAATTAAATTTTACCCTAGAATCAGAGCACTTTAACCAATACTTTGGGCTGCAGTGACAACTATTCTATTTCACACTGAAGCAGTTAGAGCATTAAACAGGAAGGAAGTAGCTTAAATTCACATATCACATGAGTGAAATCTTATACAAGAACGAAAACTGATTCTTGGGGTGGAGGAAGAAATGACAGGCAGAGCATAGAGGGTTTTTAGGGCAATGAAAACACTCTATATGGTATTTTAATGATGTGTACATATCATTATACATTTGTCCAAACCCATAGAATATACAACACCAAGAGTGAACCTAAGGTAAATTATGGACATTAGGTAATTATGATGTGTCAACAAAGTATCATTCTTGTTTAAAAAACTGCACTAAAGGACAGGGAACTATATTCAATATCTTGTAATAACCTATAATGGAAAAGAATCTGAAGAAGACCATATATATGAATCACTATACTGTACACCTGAAACTAACACAACATTGTAAATCAACAGTACTTCAATTTTTTAAAAAAATGTACTATTCTGGTGAATGCTTTGATAATTGAAGATGCTACATATATGTGGGGGCAGAGGGGTAAGTAGAAAATCTCTGTACTTCTTCTCAATTTTATTACAAACCTAAAACTGTTCAAATTTGAAAAGAACAAGAAACTGACTTTCTCTTTCCTTAGGATGGAGATGGGGCTGAATGGGCCATGGAGATCCATGAGAACAGAGCAGAGACTTCAAGGAAATTCAAATCACAGAAGGGAAAAGAGCATAGAATTATGCAGGAAGTCAAAGTAACCAAATGGGATTTTAGAGTTATTCACTGATATGTAAGAATACGAATGTTAACAATAATTAGTAAGTTCTGCCCCACTGTACTCCTGGCTCACGGCAGAATAGGGAGTAGATGAGAACCACAGGGAAGTCCTCATTGTGAACTTGAAAATGAGAAATATATTATCACCCCCCTCTACTGTACAAAACATAATGGCTCATAGCAGACTATCAAAGTCGTGCAGATGATCTAGCGTGAGTCCAGGCCCTTCAGACTAGACAGCAACTTGATGGGAACTCATATTAGACCTGAAAACTGTCTCGTTAGAAGCAGGGGTGACCTATCATGGAATCAGAGAAAAGGGAGCCAATATTTAAAGCAAATACTAAAAAAAAGACGAGTATTAGGTTGGAGACCCTAATATTTGAGCAGCACCAGTGCATTTGGCTGTGTAATATTCACCAGAATCGCCAGTCCTGCGAGGTAGGAACTGGGAAGAACTACAGCTAGATTGATCGAAGGTTGGGACTCAGCTGGGCAAGTGAAAAGGGAGAACAGGTAGGCAAGAACATTAAAAGAAAGTGACTGAAGTGATTTACAGTGGAGTCTAAGTTGGATGAGAAAGCAGTGGAGTCTAAGTTGGATGGAGGAGCTGATAGACAGAAAGCCAGGAGAATAGTGGGAGGACTCAGGGGTGTTACAGCTGAAAAACCGAAGCTGTGGGTCTCATGGGCTGAGAAGGCTGAAAGCATAGGATGCTGCCATCAGAAAAGGGTCTGGGTGAGTGCGGGATCATGAGAGTGAGGAGCTGGAGTGGGGGATGTTGAAGGTTATTCGACCTGAGAAGATCAAACATTCAAGAGGCCAGGGTGCTGCGTGAGTGATCGGGGTGAGTGGGAAAGTACCGCATGATGGAGAATAAGGCTGCGAGCCAGGTGCTTCCAAAGAACAAGGGGGAGACAGGAGTCTGGGAAAGGAATGAGATGAGGAGAGACATTTAGTTGAATGTCCCAAGTCCCCAAAGAGCAAGGATTTTTACATGAGAGAGAAGGACTTATGGCCTGAAAGTAGCCTTGAGGGTAGGAGTATGCTACCCAAGTTACTGGATTTGGGGAGTTGGCGGATTCTACTTGGGAGGAAGAATGTCATTAGGGGAGTCAAGCACCAGCTGCGGCAAGGATGTGGAGGGCATGTTCAGTGATGGAGCTGAGGGCAAGGGGAGCCGTGGATGTAGGACAAGAGAGAACACAGAAGAAACGTAGGGGAGGGAGTGGGGGAAGTTGAGTAAGAGGGCGGAGCACAGAAGTGTCTGGGAATGAAAAGATGGGAGAGGACAGAGGAAGCAGAGCTTACATTTTGGATGGTCACTGAAATAGCCGGGGCAAGAGGCATTTTTTACATCCAATCCCCAGTGGAGGGGTGGGGATATTGTCAAGAAGGGATGGGGAAATCTTCCACGGAAGGAGTAAATTATGATCTGTGTTGATGGGACTTTTAGGGAGTTAGAGAGGTTGAGCTAGGTTTGTCCCAAGAGAAAGACATAACAGGTCGGGGGAGGGAGTTAAAGTGGGGCAAGGTACTTTTGAATAACCCTGAGCATGTTAGCTGAATGCCTCTCCGTTTCCTCCTAGGTTTCAGCTCAGAACATTTCCTTATATGAGTACCATAAGCCACTTGGCTATAAAACAATATAAATCACAGAACAGTGTAAGCAGCAAAGGAAGGTAGGAATCTTACCATATGTCCACAATGCTGTACATATTTTAAAGTTTAAATAGCCAGAGGATCAGTGTATTGAATCCAGAGGGGAAATACAGTATGTTGTTGTAGCACCCCATAAAACTGCCAGGCAGCACCTCTTCATGTATTCTGCATCCGTTTGAAAAGATAGTGGCTCTCCCTGTGTATGCGTCTGCGCCTGTCTTCCCTCTGCTTAAAACAATATCTTGCAAACAGCAGCCTGTCTGAGAAGAGATAAGAGGATTTGGAATTGTCCAAACGCAGCCTGTGCAGACTCGGCTCTTATCTGTTGAGATTCCCTTGCCTTCATTAACTATTAAATGCTAACCTTTCCTGTTTAATAAGAGGAGACTATTAAACGTTTTCCACGGCCTGATGAGAGAGATGTGGAGGTCTGTCACATTTCTGCCTTCTGGAAGACACCAAAACAAAAAACAACACAAACAAAGAAACAAAAAAACCCTCATTAAACGTTTCCAACCACTCTCATGGCTGTATTTGCCCTTCTCTTAACCTGGAGCTAGTTAGTGGAATTTGATGTTCTCTGTGTCTGCAGCAACTGCGTCTACAACGCTCGTGGAAAACAGTGGAGACAGTCCTTGTAGATACTTTGGCTGCACGGGGTTGGCTCTCTTTGCCCTGGGTGTGTCCGGGGGTGTCCCAGAGCTGGGGCTCCATCCATTTTCTTTGGCATTTCACTTCTTTTCAGTGGTGCACTTCCCTAAGTCTTTGACCTTTGAGTGGTTAAGATGATCTGAGTCTGATCATGTATTGTTTACAATTTCTGAAGCAAAATTAAGTGAAATCGTTCTGAGAATTAGATCTTAAAAGTGTTAGTAAAGTGTTTCTTTACTTTCTGATAATCTGGTTATAATTTTAATTTCTGCAGATTAAATCCTGAGACCCAGGGCTGACAATAATTTGTTGCCCCTTCAAACTGATGGTTTAAAAATATTTGTGCAACACGTATTGAGGAGAGAGGTGATATGTTCTGTGGGGTGGGGCCGAGAAGGAGGGGTGCTCCCAGCTGTGTGGCACAGTTCTGAGTAATTTAGTTCTTACCCCAGACGAGATTAACACTCTGCAGGTATGCACCATGCCCTTCCCTGACCCACTAGCCTCCGAAGCAGGTTAGAGATTTTTTTTTTATTGTAACCTGAGCATGAGTCTCAAAGTCTTTATTTTCACCCCTGAGCCTTATCAAAGTGGCTCTTGTAACTCCCTCTCCCTGGAGGAATTCTGGTAAATATGGCTCCTTCTCATTATATTCCCACTGATGTCTCTGCACTCAATGACCTTCAGCTCTCGTCATAGATGGACGAGCTGGCTCATCCTTTGACTCAGCTTAGCTAACAATCAAGTTCCCCAAACATACATGAATTGTACAATGTTGACACTATGGCAGTAATAACAGTACAAAGGATTACTATTATATGTGACAAAGTTATGGCCAAGATTGGAAACCAAACTAACAGAGATTTTGATAATCTTTTAAAGTTTCTTTTTCTCTTAATTTTTTTAATGCTTAATTCCAATTTTGGAGGAATTCTGAAAACTTGACAGACAATTAACTAAGAGGAATGTTTCTGACAATATGTATCTTGATTTCAGCAAAACACTGGGCAAATTTTTTGCTGTATTATTAGATGAGATGACTAAGGCTAGGTATAAACAAAAAGATAATATGTGGGCAAAATTTTTTAATTTTTATTTTGGAAAGTTTCATGCATATGCAAAAAATACAGGATGATAGAATAAGCCCCTGTGCACCTATCACTTAACTTCAGCCATTTTCCTGCATGACTAATTATGTTTCATCAGGACCAGAACATTCCCCTCTACCACCAAGATTTAAAAAATCTCAAACAGCTCAGAAACTATTAAGTGAAGTAAGTCAGACAGAGAATGACAAATATCATATGATATCACTTATTTGTGGACTCTAAAAAGTAATACAAATGAACTTATTTACAAAACAGAAACAGAGTCACAGACAGAAAGCAACGTTATGGTTACCAAAGGGGAAGATGGGGAGGGGTAAATTAGGAGCTTGGGATTAACAGATACACGTTACTAGATATAAAATGAACAAGGACCTACTGTATAGCACAGGGAATCATACTCAATAGCTTGTAATAACCTATAATGGAAAAGAATCTGGAAAAGAATATCTGTGTATCTATATATAACTGAATCACGTTGCTGTACACCTAAAACTAACACGATATTGTAAATCCATTATACTCCGATTTAAAACAAAGCTGAGAAATATATTTGATGAAATACCATCAGCATAAATAGAAAACTCCCTCTCTGAGGATTTTTAAATGTATGTCTTTTAAATTTAACTTAATTGATTTTAATTTTAAGGATAAAGGACTAATTTTAAAGGAATTTGAGAGAAAAAGATCTGCGTGTGAAGCAGCTGCATGAGAAAACTGCTGAACAAGTGGACACATCCTGACCAACACAAAAAGTGGCTTTCAGATCAGGAAAACACGAGGGGTGTAACAGGCGGTCCTTAGGGAGCAGCGCCAACACCAGGTGAACAGTCTACTTCAGCCACTACCCTGCTCGGATTGTTCCCAGCTCAGGGTAAAAGAAACTCCTCCTGGGAGCCAGTGCTACCTGTCCCAATGCCAAATGACTATAGTGTGAGCTGTGTGCAGGGCTGTCTCCTGCCATGCCATGAATGGAGTGTGGAGGACCATGTGCTACTCTGTGGTATCTCTGCTCTGAGCATGCGCTGATGGGCTGGTGTCCACTGCTTCTACACACTGAACATAAATCCAATACCCAGCCCATCTGATGTGGTGGGATGAGGGTCAGTTCCTGTGGTATGATAGGCACACAGATACTTTATTTTCCTCATATTCCCCTTCAGGAACTCTGCATGACCTCAAGTGGGGCATCACAGGGTTGGAAATTGAAGTTACAGGTCCACAGCTGGTATGATATTCGATTTTATTTATAAGGTCCAATTTAAATATGAAAATGTGGAATATGAGGTCATACATTAATATTCTATTCCTTGGTCTTATGACAAGAACATGGTCTGTAGGAAAAGCATCAATTGTTCCCCCCCCCCCAAAAAAGATCCTTAGGTATTTCTAGGCTCTGCCCCTAACAACATCCTTTCTATAACTCCTCCTCCCTCACCTCCAACAGAGACCCATTGGATCAGCTACTGGGCTTAATAGGTTAAAAGCATCTAGCCCAGGGCTAGGCTGGGTACTGATCTAAATTCACCAATTGCCAGCTTGGCACTCTGGGTAATCTCCTGGCGTGCTGGATTGTAAAACGGAGTTTGTAGCAGTGAGGTGGAGAGGGTATAGGGTGAACAAGAACCTAGCCCAGCACCTGGTGCTTGGAAATATATCTCTTGGTATGTGAGACATGCCTCAGGCTCTTTGCTTTTTGCCCCACATATTTGCAAACCTTGCTCCCTTCTCCAAGTTTCATCACAAATGTTATTTTTTCATGAGTCTTTCCCTGGCCACCTTATGTAAAATTGCAAAACTTCCCCCTCAGGGTTCCCTCTCCCCCTCTCTGCTTTTTCCTCTTGAGTTCTTATCATCCTCTAACAAACAGACTGTTTCACTTATTTATTGTCTGTAATCCCACAAGAATCCCCTTGAAGGTAGGGAGCTTTGTTGATTCTTGCCTGGTTTGAGCTCTTGCATTATTGGTAGTGCAGACAATACATGCAACACTTTATATTTGCTGAATGAGTGAATGAAATGATACATATAATCTATTTTTACTCTTAGTTTTTTCACTCATTGCCAAAAACTCTGATGCGGCTACCCTTCTGTATTCCTTATTTGTGTGAAAGCTACAAAAATACTTTCTTCTCCTGTGCTGAATGACTAGATCCTGTTGGTTACCCGTATTCATGTAGTTTTTAGCAGAAACCCTGCTTCATCATGGGCTCTCACCCGCCCTGGGATGAGAACCTGTAACCCTAGTCATGTGTGCACCGGGAAGAAGTTCACTCTTGCCTATCTGGATGCAGCGAGTGTGAAAGGCATTTCATGTATGTGTGTATCTCAGGCAGCTGATTCAATAGTGCATTACTACTGCCCCTACTAGATTGTGATGCCAGTTTATTGAGAGAAAGTAAAATGCTATTTTAGGGTCAACTGAGCTTTGCACGTGGAAAGTGTGAACAATGTGTTGGGATTACATTGTGGAAAATGATGGCTGCAGCAACATGGACAGGTCACAAGACGGTGTGATGAATAAAACACTGTGAGTCCTGGAGTCCATGACCATTTCACCACCGATGTCATAACTTGTGAGACTTTTGCCTGAGTGGGGGTCAGTAATGAATGCATTTTCTACTGACTCAACACCACACCCATTTCCATGAACACAGTTCATTCCTTAAGGTGTATCCTGGCACACTGGACCATGACATTGTGTATGTAGTGGGCACACTAGAATTTGGACAAATAACTTGGAAAGGTAGGCAGGAAGTTTTTATTTCAAGGAATATTGGTTTGGCGTTTAAAAAATATTTGTTGTAAAGATAATTTGAAAAATGTAGTGGTAGCTCTCTCCACGAGATGGCACTCATTGTCTTCCTTACTTTTTGAAGTTTTTAACATATTCATAGTTAAAGAATATGTATGTATATATATGCAAATACATGTACACATGTATACATGCATATATATGTATGTTACATATATATACAGATGCATATTCATGTACACGTATATACGATGTGTTTATCCAAGGTTTATAATTTACCTAGGTCATTCATGTTCCTGACAAACGTGTCATTTATTTTGGCCCCTTGGGGTCACTGGGACAGGTAGCATATAGGGTTCTTGTTGGTGGCTGTAGCAAGGCAATCACTGCCTTCAGCCTCTTCATTTCCACTCTGTGCTCTGCTTATGCCAAAGGATGAAAATACAAAGCTGACTTTGAGTCTCGGAATCTATGCACAGCAGGCAAGGATGAAGCACAAAACCATTTAGACAGAGAAAAAACAGGAATGTAACGAGATAAGCTATTTATAGAAAGACTACTATCTGGGATGTTGAGGACTGAACAGGCTAGTAATTGGAAAAGCTGGTAACATTTTAGGAAAAAAAATTGAGATTTCTTCCTCTTGGAAGAATCTTGCTCCTGTTAGCATCTGAGGCCCAAGAGTAACTCTCTTTTCCTTTGTGGACAAGTTCTAATATGAATTAAAATACGATCTTTTTTCCTTGAA